ATGTAGGATTATGTTGTTCAGCTTACCCAGACCGACATATAGGGTAATGTTGTTTAGCTTACCCTGGCCGACATGTAGGGGTATGCTGTTTAGCTTACTCTGACCGACACGAAGGGGTATGTTGTTCAGCTTACCCTGACCGACAAGTAGGGCTATGTTGTTCAGCTTACGCTGACCGACATGTAGGGGTATGTTGTTCAGCTTACCCTGACCGACGTGTAGGGGTATGTTGTTCAGCTTCCCCTGACCGACATGTAGGGGTAGGTTGTTCAGCTTACCCTGACCGACATGTAGGGGGATGTTGTTCAGCTTAACCTGACCGACATGTAGGGGTATGTTGTTCAGCTTACCCTAACCGACATGTAGGGGTATGTTGTTCATCTTACCCAGACCGACATGTAGGGGTATGTTGTTTAGCTTACCCTGACTGACATGTAGGGGTATGTTGTTTAGCTTACCCTGACCGACATGTAGGGGTATGTTGTTCAGCTTACCCTGACCGACATGTAGGGGTATGTTGTTAAGCCTACCCTGACTGACATGTAGGGGTATGTTGTTCAGCTTACCCTAACAGACATGTAGGGGTATGTTGTTCATCTTACCCAGACCGACATGTAGGGTATGTTGTTTAGCTTACCCTGACTGACATGTAGGGGTATGTTATTCAGCCTACTCTGATTGACATGAAGGGGTATTTTATTTAGCTTACCCTGACTGACATGAAGGGGTATGTTGTTCAGCTTACCCTGACCGCCATGTAGGGGTATGTTGTTAAGCTTACCCTGACTGACATGTAGGGGTATGTTATTCAGCCTACTCTGATTGACATGAAGGGGTATTTTATTTAGCTTACCCTGACTGACATGAAGGGGTATGTTGTTCAGCTTACCCTAACAGACATGTAGGGGTATTTTGTTAAGCCTACCCTGACTGACATGTAGGGGGATGTTGTTCAGCTTACCCTGACTGACATGTAGGGGGATGTTTTTAGCTTACCCTGACCGACATGTAAGGGTATGCTATTCAGCTTACCCTGACTGACATGTAGGGGGATGTTTTTAGCTTACCTTGACCGACATGTAAGGGTATGTTATTCAGCTTACCCTGCCTGACATGTAGGGGGATGTTTTTAGCTTACCCTGACCGACATGTAGGGTATGTTGTTCAGCTTACCCTGATTGACATGTAGGGGTATGTTGTTCAGCTTACCCTGACCGACATGTAGGGGTATGTTGTTTAGCTTATCCTGACCGACATGTAGGGGTATGTTATTCAGCTTACCCAGACCGACATGTAGGGGTATGTTGTTTAGCTTTCCCTGACCGACACCTATAATTTATTCGACTGGTAAAATCAATTGAAATGGACATCGTGTTGTTAGGGTTTACATCTATATCAAAACAGATAAATAACAGACATTACAGGTAACAGAACATCAGCACTGTGAGTTGTTGAGTTATTACGACTGAAAACACCTTGTTAGAAAACATCTCCATTTTAACGACTGTGTGTAGAGATATACGTTGTCACCCTAATGTTATACAGTAAACCAGATTGGTTTGACGTGTGCTAACTGATGTGTATGTACAAATGTAGATAGTCGCGCTGTTTACCTTAGAGATAATTTCACACATTGCAGTCCAAGTATTTAAACACCTTGGTCCTACCTTACACGACGTGTATTGACTAGCTCGGACTAGTCCTTATTATCTCTTTCAACTAGGCACTGCTAATGTATTTTGTACGACGTAGTATCGAGTTGAAAGCGACAACAAAAGAAAGTGCCATCGACCCGGAATAAATGGTCCATTGAATATGAATACACACCTTCATTGAATGTTTCTTTATATTTTCCATTCGATTAAATTTATTAAGCATGTTGTTGTATATTGTTGGTTTAAGAACTTAGTTTCTATCCGGTTCTGTAGGTAGATACTGGCATACAGTGAATAGAGACCGATAGAAAGGTAACGAGTATGTACATTCACCTGTATTATAAACAGGTAGGACAAACACTTAACCTTGTCTTAAGTTCCGAGTGAAACCATCAAATGAGCTTCAGGTATGTAGAATCACGAATACAAAATGCTACACCAATCAGATATGTTCGAAGTTCTTTACAAAAAGTCGCATTCGTAGTTTATTTGCGTCAATCTATTTTTCAATATAGAACAGCTATCAGATCTAACAAACATATGTAGCATATGCAGTAGGCATAGTGTACAACGTTAGAGTAGGTTGATGGTTTGATACCATTCTGGTGGAGGAGTAAATCTAACCCACATCTTGATCAACCAATATGGGTTGTATGGGAGTTTAATCTTTTCATCGAAGCGTATTTTACGGTCGTTTTGGCCTGGTCTTAAACCGTTAGTGACAGTAATATTTGTCAGGGTTTGACGGGAATCACCTTGATGGATGCCACGCTTGGTACCGGAATCGGTCACATTTACCGAACAACTGGTTCCGCCTCCATTGTATGTGAGCGTTCATCATGTCTTATTTCCGTTTTGACGTCTCCTCTGTTCCTGTTGATGTTTTTTCATGGTGACATGCACTTTAAATTTTGGCATTTATTTTGTACTTGTTGTTACTGCTACGGGATGTATTCCATTTTACTTGATTGCTAATGGGAAAGGTTGCTATAAAGCCGTTTATAAGGGTTCAAACCTACAAGTTTTAGATACAACAGATGATTTATTCTATATCCTGTTCATTATGCTAAGCATGCCAGAATAAATTCCAGCTAAAACGTTATATATCAATCTCTTTAACAGTCACCCTTCCACAGAACTCGTTTTCTCTTGAAGGGGATGGAAATGAATCATTCTCATTCTGAACACACACCTGAAATAGCCGTGACTTTGTTCAGTGTCGTTCCTATAAAACATACACGGACAGTTAGTTAGTCAGTCACTACTATCAGTATACCAGTCTACACTTGTGTATTAATGAGCAGGGTATTGAACCCCAGACTTGACCCCGGGTGAACAACAGACATAATCTTTGATGCCGTGGAGGGCCACAGACCCGTGGTAATACACCCGTTTGTCAACGCCGAGCTACACATCTTTCCCCAAATCTTGACACCTATTTGTTTGATGTACAGTTCAGTATGTGTATGGTACGTCCTTGTGTGCGCTGCTACCTTTGTTTCCTTATATGCCATGTCTTTTACGCCAACACAATGGAGGTATTATAGATGTGTATAGCACAAATTAATTACTTACCATTATCAGCAGGACTGGCAATATTACTGACTGCAGCTGAAATAAGTCATTTTAAATGTACAAAATGTGAACAGGTCGATTTCTATGTGACTGGGGTTGGTACGTTCGTTTAATGTAAAGTGCCATTATAACATAGATTGATCAAGTGGATCGATTGACCATGTACTATAGCACGGGCCAGATTGCGGCCTCTCACTTATTAATAATGTTTCCAAATGGCGTCTGTCTGGATCACTAAAGTACCCGGGAGCTAGGGCAACTCCGGGTACGGTACAGTACCCAAAAGACCGTAGACACCAATACAGTACACGTGACACAACGATCACGTGACGGCGATAGTACGCGTTCTGTTACATTAATAAGAGAAGGTATTCGTAGCATTTTCTTGACTTAATACTGCCTTGGTATCATATTACTTTGGTTTGACATTTATTCAACACAAAATACTTTGATATAACATTGTCTTGTCATAAATTCATCCATGGTCTATAAACACAAGAGTACAACTGAAATAATCCAGTAATCTTAATTGGTAGTTTGGTTGAGAAGTAAACATCAGGTTCTACATTAACTACCACAGACCGATCTCTGCCTAATATGCTCTCTACCTTTGATTTCAACATATTGACATTTAAAAGAAGGGACTAGGGAAAAGATATTTACAATTTCCATGATAATTACACGCGCACACACACAAACACCAGGTATAGACATGTGGACGTAAGGGTGTTATATTCATCATTGATATCTGTAAACAACACCAAATTTCCTTTTCGTTTATGCCCGGAATAATTCCTGATAAACGTGTCCATAGCCATGCGGTCGTTATATGGTTTATACCTGAAACCTTTACCCTGGCCAACGAGGTTCTGGTATAAATTCAAGAGAATCCTCAGTATAATTCGTTTTAAAATGATAATTGTCCACATATCTGATTGCAATCGTGTTATCCGATACCTTTCGGGGAATTATCTAGAATGTAAAGGTACCGGATTTATAGCGAAGTCATCAACAGAGTTAAACATATCGAGAAACTTCAATCAACCAATTTTGCCCTACCCGTATACCAACGGAGCTCGATAATTGCCCCTGCCTATCCCAACTACACAAAATTGTTTTTCTTTTTGAAATTGAAACTGAATATATTTCTTTGTTTAATCTGTAACTGTCTGTTTCTAATCGTGTATTGACTTTTTACACTTATTACCCATGTGTCCCAATGACAAGACGTAGTTCAAAGGGGCCGCGCGGTGGCCAAGTGGTTAAGTCGTCTGACATTCTGCTACCACTAGCTCTTTACCACTTGGTCACGGGTTCGAGACCAACGTGGAGCAGTCGTAAGGTACTGTTCGTAGATCGTCGGTTTATCCACGGGAACTCCGGCTTTCCTCCACCACAAAACCTGGCACGTCCTTAAATTGCCATATAGCTGTTAATAGGATTTAAAACATAAACAAATCAAATCAAAGTCATAGAGATAGCAACAGATTCACCGTAAGAGGCGACTAATGTGACATTACCCGTATAACTGGGGATTTCCTGCTGAGACCAAAATAGGTTTTCTTGGGATCTTTATCCTTTTTCCTATCCTTCTTGTTTTCTTCCAGATTTTGAAACATTTGGACATTATGTCCTGTATTTTTATTACTTTATTCTGAAAGGTTTGTTTGTGTTTTACGTACTATTAACAGCTATGGTCAATGGTTTAGAAAGGAAAATTTAGAACAAACTGATATATAAACACTGACCTGTCTTTTTCTGTGATTGTAGGCCCAGCTGCTACTGTTTTCCGTGCCAGAAGAGTCCGATGTTGAGATGGAGATCGACCACGGCCTCGGAAGCCGGACGGACACCCGACTATCCATAGGACGTGTCCCGTCCCAGATGTCGCGTGCCACCATGGTGCGAACTCCGGCCGCAAGACCGACAACCCAAGAAAAAGTCATACAGGAAATGGACGACCAAGAAAATATACTTATCACAGAGTTAAAACAATCTGAGTATCGATTGGAGGAGAGTGAAGAAGTAGAGTCCCCAAGGGAACCAGACATCTTGTATCTAGATGACAAGGTGCCCATCACATCACGGACCGAGGAGGACGAGTATGATACAGACCTAGAGGTAGAAGGTAGGTACATGACCGAGGAGGACGAGTATGATACAGACTTAGAGGTAGAAGGTAGGTACCGACAGCTGTGTGACGTAGTTACCACTGGGGACATCTAAACTGGCTGCCTTCGTAAAACAAGGTCACGATATGTTGATTTTTAAGTACTAGTCCTATTTGTATATACGTTATTAATATTCCAATGCGTTAAAACAATTAAATATTACATCTCATACAAATTCAAATTTGGTTATTTTAGGTCACTATCAAAACATGAAATCAATTTCGATATATGTTCTAAAATAAACTATGAAAAATATAATACAATGCATCACAATGTCACTAAACAAGGACAAAATATACTACAATGTCACTACACAAGGATAAAATATACTACAATGTCACTACACAAGGACAAAATATACCACAATGTCACTATAAACATGGACAAAATATACCACAATGTCACTACACAATGACAAAACATACCACAATGTCACTACACAAGGACAAAATATACCACAATGTCACTGCACAAGGACAAAATATACTACAATGTCACTACACTAGGACAAAATATACCACAATATCACTACACAAGGACAAAATATACCACAATGTCACTACACAAGGACAAAATATACTACAATGTCACTACACAAGGATAAAATATACCACAATGTCACTACACAATGACAAAACATACCACAATGTCACTACACAAGGACAAAATATACTACAATGTCACTAAACAAGGACAAAATATACTCCAATGTCACTATAAACATGGACAAAATGTACCACAATGTCACAGCACAAGGACAAAATATACCACAATGTCACTACACAATGGCAAAATATACCACAATGTCACTACACAAGGGCAAAATATACCACAATGTCACTACACTAGGACAAAATATACCACAATGTCACTGCACAATGACAAAAATACCACAATGTCACTACACTAGGACAAAATATACCACAATATCACTACACAAGGACAAAATATACCACAATGTCACTGCACAATGACAAAAATACCACAATGTCATTACACAAGGACAAAATGTACTACATTGTCACTAAACCAGGACAAAATGTACCACAATGTCACTACACAAGGACAAAATCACTGTGCCAATTTAGATTTACAAAATAATACATAATGTCAAAATCAAAATTTGAAGTGATGACGAAATAAGTAACAAGGAAAAGAGGAAATTCCTCAAAAATACAACAGATATGATGAACATCCCCAAGCACTGGAGGAGAAACCAGGTGATCCGTCAGATTTCTTCAGCGCGGATTAAAGCATCACTCCGGGAAGTCCTAATCCTAACAGAACATACATTATCTAATAGTATCATACATTATCATATAATACGAGCAATTACATTTGGAACATGTTCCTGTTTTAAACGAATTTCCCCACCAAAGTGATATATATTTTACCTGATCTGATTGGCATCACTACCAATTTTAGAGGACTCTGAGGATCTCCATGACACAAGCGGAAAGTCAAACTATAAGAAGATCTGTTCCCAGTTCGGCGTGGTACCTATATCCTACTTCGTCCGCCACATCCTGGATCAGGAACTGGTGATGCGTTACCATGGACTTGGACCTGTGGCGGCTAAAGCTATGGCACTGGTGCTTAAGGTAAGGTTTCAAACCCGATTGCCACAAAATAATATCCACTGGCCGCTCATGGTAAAGCTGAATGCACTACTATATAACACAATGGAAGCACTAACCAACCAACAATTTCCATTGTTCTTTAAATATTCGAGACAGATAAGGGCTATTTTTTTATTCATATTCATGCTAATAATTTGTTGTGTCCTATCAAAATTTATATTCAAAATATTGTTCAGAACTCGATATATTTACATTAGCTTTGAATTGCCAGTAGACCGTCTATTCCGTCCTTGTGTATTGCAGAGTTATCTTCTCTTGAGAGCAGGTATTGATTGTTACGTCATTTGTTTGTGAGAGTAACGTCATCAATTTTTGAGAAAACGACGTAATTTTCTCACACAAACCAATGACGTAACAATCAATACCTGCTCTCAAGAGAAGATAACTCTGCAATACGCAAAGACGGAATAAAAACCTTGTAAAAGCAGCTGTGAGTTATGAAAGTACAATACTGGCGTCATGATCATTACGTCATTACAACTGTGACGTCAGTATCATAGCGCTAATGACAGCTGACCGATACTGGCTTTGTACGATAAATAAATGCCAATTTAATGTCAAACTAAACGAAAATGTAAATATTTATTCTTTATATATATCTTTATTTAGTTATAGGCATAAATGCTTTTGTGCATCATAACGAACATACATGAGTGAACAGTAACAGTTACAAGTTGTAAATTCATGAGCTCATTGACATAGTGACGTAGCCAAGATATTGCACTGCTTTTATTTGGAGTTAATAGTACTGAAGTTCTGAGAATGATTGCAAATAAATAGAACGTGCGTAATAATACTGAAATTACAGTCATAGTCTAAAAGCAAATTCATTATTTCAGCTGTAAGTTGATATCTACAAAACATTGTGAAAATGTCATCTATAGCAGAATTCATTTATTTCATTAAAGAAAAGGCTTTCAGAGTGTCATTTGGTTTGTATCTATCGACGCCATATGTTCCAATACTTTTGTTTGTATCTAACGAAGCCATCTGTTCAAATACTTTTATAGGACAACGTGACGTTAGAAAAGCTTAATTTGAACGGAAATTGGATAGAGGGTCCAGGAGGAGAAGCGATGGCCCGGATGTTGGAGGAAAACGATTATATATCAGAAGTGGTAAGTCGGTCGGCATTAAAACGTAAAATCAAACAACATATATAACGTCAAACAACATATATAACATCAAACAACACATTTACATCAAACAACATATATGACATCAAACAATATATATAACATCAAACAACATATATAACGTCAAACAACACATATAACGTCAAACAACATATATAACGTCAAACAACATATATAACATCAAACAACACATTGAACATCAAATAACACATAATGTCAAACAACATATATAACATCAAACAACACATTTACATCAAACTACATATATCACGTCAAACAACATAAATAACGTCAAACAACACATATAACATCAAACAACACATTTAACGTTAAACAACACATTGAACATCAAACAACACATTTAACGTCAAACAACATATTCAGCGAAGAAGGAGAACAAAGATATCAACATACTTAGCGGAGAAGGAGAACAAAGATATCAGCAAAGATATTCAGCAAAAGAATTACCTTTTGTATGAAATGTTTTCTGTTGTAATGAGTTTTAGAGGTAAATGTGATGAGTTTTTGTACCAAATATATAAAAATAGTTATAAAAAAGTTCTTTTATAGACTGAAGTGCAAATTAATTTTAGAAGTGCGCACGTTATTGAAGGTTGCGTGCGAAATGTATATAAAACATCAAACACCCAATAACTATGTAATGGTATTAGCGAGTTATTTATAAGGATGCTGAGGATGTCAGATAAGAACTCCACACCTATGACATGTTGCCTGTATAGTTAAAGAAGAACACGGGCTTCTTGTCTGTCTTTACTTTATTGCAAAAGATAATCCAAACGGGGTTAATGAGTTTCCTGGTCGTCAAACAAGTCCTCCAGCTCTATCGGTTGTTCTCTGTGGCTACACAGAGGTCATAAAATGTTTTAAAATATTGATAATCAGAGTGCCTTCGTCTATAACTTATGTATTATTCAAATAGAGAAAAGTCAATAGGGAACAGTTTTATATATAACTTAGTACTTTGTCCAGATCCCAATCTTGCTTAAGAAACACAGCAACTTCCAATTTCACTATCAGGCACCGTTATATTATTCATAACGAGGACTCGAAGTCTACATGGATAGTATCATGTTCAAGATCTAACGTCTTGTTTATCCGTTTCAATTTTGAGTTCGAATGATGTTTATTATGTTGACACTGTGGAATAGCTCATACTTGTTATTGACTTCGTGGTATATTTAGGCTTGGTGTGAGGACGCTGTGGTATATTTTGTCCATGTGTGTTGAAGTCATTGTTTATTTTGTTGACCCTGTCGTGGTATATTTAGGCTTGGTGTGAGGACGCTGTGGTATATTTTGTCCATGTGTGTTGAAGTCATTGTTTATTTTGTTGACACTATCGTGGTATATTTAGACTTGGTGTGAGGACGCTGTGGAATATTGTGTCCATGTGTGTTGAAGTCATTGTTTATTTTGTTGATGCTGTCGTGGTATATTTAGACTTGTTGTGAGGACGTTGTGATAAATTGTGTCCATGTGTGTTGAAGTCATTGTTTATTATGTTGACACTGTGGAATAGCTCATACTTGTTATTGACTTCGTGGTATATTTAGGCTTGGTGTGAGGACGCTGTGGTATATTTTGTCCATGTGTGTTGAAGTCATTGTTTATTTTGTTGATGCTGTCGTGGTATATTTAGACTTGTTGTGAGGACGCTGTGATAAATTGTGTCCATGTGTGTTGAAGTCATTGTTTATTATGTTGACACTGTGGAATAGCTCATACTTGTTATTGACTTCGTGGTATATTTAGGCTTGGTGTGAGGACGCTGTAGTATATTGTGTCTATGTGTATTGAAGTCATTGTTTATTTTGTTGACACTGTCGTGGGATATTTAGGCTTGGTGTGAGGACGCTGTGGTATATTTTGTCCATGTGTGTTGAAGTCATTGTTTATTTTGTTGACCCTGTCGTGGTATATTTAGGCTTGGTGTGAGGACGCTGTGGTATATTTTGTCCATGTGTGTTGAAGTCATTGTTTATTTTGTTGACACTGTCGTGGTATATTCAGACTTGGCGTGAGGACGCTGTGATAAATTGTGTCCATGTGTGTTGAAGTCATTGTTTATTTTGTTGACTTTGTCGTGGTATATTTAGACTTGGTGTGAGGACGCTGTGGTATATTGTGTCCATGTGTGTTGAAGTCATTGTTTATTTTGTTGACACTATCGTGGTATATTTAGACTTGGTGTGAGAACGCTGTGGTATATTCTGTCCATGTGTGTTGAAGTCATTGTTTATCGCGTGTTGATGCTCAGATTTTTTTCATTGTGTTTTGTCGTATCATTTTTTTCTGTTTTCCTACTATGCATGAATATCTTTATAAACTTAAGGGAAAAAAAAGGTTCATTCCTAAACTTTGCATATTCTATTGATAGTAATTAAAAACCTGCTTTTTATTATTCGTTACCTTATAAGTTGTGAATTAAACTCTGTTTCCTCTATCGTTGCTACCTGTTTATCAGGTCATTCAATAAATGTAAGAAAAGTTGCTTAAATACAAGTATAAATCAAACTTTTTATCTAAAAATTCCGTCATTTTAATTGGTTAATCGGTTTGAAGATAAGCGCCTTTCGACTTTTTGCTGCTTCATGACGGACACTCGTCCGCAATGTAGTACCGCCATAGATGTTAAATTTACTTGTTGTTAGCTTAAAAAATGAAGTCCTAAATGATAGAGTTAGGTATAGAGCTTCAAACGTAATTGTTTTTTGCGTACCAATTATCAAACTCATCGTGTCAAACAATTTCTACGAGGCTGACTGGTAGTTTGTCAATCATCAAATATTCAATTCGAAGGAGTTCCAAAATTTGTGGCAGTCGTTTATACTCGTTAAACTTTGTTTCATTTTAAAATTGGGCAAATTAACCAACTCGAGTAAGATAAGAATGATATACAACGGTGAGTTGTTGTGGAACCTCTTTGTATCTAAGCTGGATAAATGATCAATAAACACTACAATGCTGATGTCAGAAACACACTGTGTACATATTTCTTTTCTTTTTCTTTAGTGTTTATCAGACAATCGACTGGGTACCACCGGAGCCAAGAGTCTGTGTCGGATGTTGGGAGTGAACACCGGCCTCAGGAAGATAGACTTATCGGGTAACTCTTATATAATACACTAGTTTCTTTCTTAAAAAATTACATTCCTCATTATCAACGGTATCACTATTCCTACAAAGTTTACTTTAAGCCAGTCAGCTTTACCAACGAATATTCCTTTGTAGTTTACTGGATTATTCAAGAATAATCAGAATAATAACAATAATATTGTAATATGCACTTTACTATGAACAATAAATAATATTGCATTACTAATTTTGTGTCTCTTTTGTTGTAACTCTTACAACTACAATCATATTATATACTGCACTAATTTTGTGACTATTTTTTAATAAGTAGCAGTTAAAATCTATAAATCTAAAACGTAAAGTTATTTGTGTTTACAAGTTTTACACGAAATTCCTTTGCTCGAACGCCAGTAGGACCTATCTTATCTCTTCGTTATAGAGAGGATTGCCAACAGACATTGTATATCATCTTAGTTTAGATTACTGTAGTTTTAATTACAATCATATTGTAATATTCCTATTGCTAATTGGGCAATACAGATGTTGTTTCATTTCGATATCCGCATGGCACCCAGTGTTGCACTTCAGTCCACTGGTGAAATGATGGCTGCATTGTATATATTTCAATGGTGTACCATTGTTTACAAGCAGCGAGGGCTTTCATCACCCGATAGATTATCAGCTGTACTTTTTAACCCGCGTGTTTATGTTATTACATTTAATTTCATATGACAATGCAAATGATATCCAGCAATGTCAAGCATGTACTTTCACTCTTGTAATTTCTTCAACGATCACTAATTCTGATTCTCTGAAGCAACTACCTTGTAATGAACCATGAGCAGTGTGGTCTACCTCAGTCAGCAAGGTCTAGTTGGTTTGTGATGCCGCCAGGATGTGTTTAAAACATTATAGAATTGCTCAAATATTGACAGATGAACATTAACTCCTTGCTGCATAATCGGTCCACTACACCCCTTTGTCAAAAATCAGTATTAAATTAACGCACATAATTATGCATATGTGTGTTCTTGTTGGAAAAAAGCAATTATTTTTTGTGAATATGTATAGATGCATTTTAAAACAAAGAATTGGAGGCATTTGCGGTCCTTTTTTAGTTTTGTAAGATGCCGAATGTCTGTATCAAGCTTATTTTCTCACACAAATGTCGCGGTAGTGTTAATGTAGTGTCTCATGATGGTAGCTTGACCACAAAATATGAAGCGACTGGTATTTCATAATGTTCTACAGCATTCGAAGCATTACTGAAGATAATCACATCTGGCCAGGACCGTCTAAGCTATCTGGTGTAAGCCAGTGAATGGTTATTACGTTATTCAAGGCTGTGTTTATTCCAAAGTCGATATCTATTCAGACTAAACCTCTCTGTAAGAGGACTGATTTTGATATCATCCTAATTCATAAAATCCATATCAATTAATCACACCACTAAACCATAAATGTAACTGCGTAGGAAATCCAATAACATTCATTTCTAACAAGAAGCGTTAATAAATTAAATCAAACAGACGATAAAAACAAACACCGTTCTACTTGTCTATGGTTTCCATGTAAACGGCCGTCAATGGTTGATGTCAAGTTCCCAGTTTATAATAATGCATTACTGGCTGACTTGATTTATCTGCCCATTTGTCAGACGGGCGCCATTGCCTGCGCCCGGTTTGGTTTGCACTTAATTAAAAATTGGCTATTACCTGATTGAGTTCTCGACATGAATCGATATACCATTACTTTCCAAAAGACTGAAAACAAACTAGCATGGGGTGAGGAAAAGTGTCTTTGTGTGGATCATTTATATTCCTAGTGTAATCTGGAACATTTTGTCCTAGACTTGATCGATTTGGAATACCTGCGTAATCCATAGTGACGGATTAAACACGACATCGTTGTAAGCAAGGCCCGCATGAATGTACAGGCATTCTTACAACCCATCATGAATTTCTTGTTCTAACAAAACTTTTAGTAACTTGCTAAACGCATTGTCTTAAGTAATGTCTAGTCATTGAAAATAGTGTCCAGCTTCAAGTCTACCCGAAGTTCCTCCAAATAATGGACAAAGTGTCTTTAAATGATTTATCACTAGAAAATGTAATTTGAGTTAAAGAATGAGAAGGTTTAATAAGTTTTCCGGGTTGGTTATCAAATATAACGATAACAGTGGTCATAATGACTTAGATTCTAGCCATGATGCTTGAGTGTCTAACATTTATTTGTTTCTTCGACTTTTGATGACGTACATAGTTTAATCTGGATATGCTTGAGACAATACAACAGATGCTACATGTGGTACAGAAACGCTTACCCTTCCGGAGCACCTCGTTTCCACTCCAATGTTTTGTGTGGGTTCCGTTTGTCGCTTCGGTGCCTGTTGTTGTTGTTTGGTTTTGTCTTTGACCTCAGATGTTCTTTTGTGTGTTGTGTTGTGGTACATCATTTTCTATATCACATCTATAAATGGACAATTAAACCGTCCTGATACGATCACAAGTGTTATTTCAGTCGCTTAAGTGTCTCGTTTTATTCAGAATAAGGTGATGACATTAATCTTCACTTAAGAAATCCCGTGTAAACAAATATGTACACAGTACAAATTGACCAGTTGAGTTTAGAGCAGAATGGTGTAGATATCATATTGTTCAATTACCCATTGTCTCAGTAAGTTACTAACTAATATTTCACTTTAGGTATGACCTTTTTAATGTTCGTCATGACATTTTCAGATAACGCTTTCGAGGATGGAGCCGTCGAATTTTTCGTAGAAATGCTAGACGTAAGTTATCTATTTGTATATTTACAGTCGATAAAAAAACTAAGTAATCTGTAATCTCATCATTACATGTACTAGTAAAGAAATAGACGTAGATGGAATTGTGAATCAACGTCAGTTTAACTTAAAGTTTCTAATATAGACAGTTGGTTACGTTATTTCAATAATCGTAATTTAAAATAGTGCGTATACTCTTAGAAACCTCAATTATGTAATAAGATATGTGTGTTGTTTTATAGAATAACAAGTATTTGAAGTCTCTGAATTTGAGTCGTAACCGGTTTGGGGAGCAGGCTGGCGAACTATTAGGACCAGCAATAGGTACGGTATTGAGATAGTGTTTGTGTGGTGAAGTTTTGTAACCATAGGTCATATTAGACGTCAATTCTATTGTGTTATGAATAATACAATGTATAAAACAGGAAAGTGTACTAACAATGTGACTGTTTAAACAAACATAAACCTACGGTATACAATATTTATCTAAAACACAACCTACATTTGTCTTTCTTTGTTATACGTGTTCAACCGTTGTTGATTTATGTCTATATAAACAAATATTTGAATAAAGGGTGAATTGTTCTCATGTTTCTACGAACAATGTCTAGCCTCTTTACAGCAAATTATATTTCTATGATGAAGCAATTAAGCGTTGTCAGATGGTAAATCAGCAATTTTGATTGCAGCTTCCAACGATATACTTGACTCCCTGGACCTCAGCTGGAACCACCTTCGACAGAAAGGGGCGGTGTCCGTAGCACGTGGTCTCAAGGTAGGATATAGGTCAAAGTGTGTGTTCGAGGAAGGGGCACAAATCGATTGTATACAACAAATATAATTTATTTATGAAATAAAGATGAGCATACAGTGTTCTACATTATTAGACTCGTGCTATTGACTATAACCTGCTAAATTACTTGAACCATGTGCCGTTATACCGACTACTGTTATATCAGAACGTGTATTGCATTCGTTCTAATTCACTATACATGTCCGTATGTAGACAATTGTCCTTTGTGTACGAAGACGATTAACATTCCGTTGACGACAAAAGATCACACTAAATGAGGTACTAAACACCTGATAGTCTAGTTTACTTTAAATTCGGTGTCTTTTCAAGTATAGAATAGTTTTTAAACAACCACACGATGAAAATCATTATTTATATACTCATATCGGAACGCATTAACAGTTTTGTTCTGTATACGTACCTGGGTACCGAGACAATTGTAGACAGATAATCTGTTATTTAAAAGGTAATATTATACCCATCTATACCCCCATCGTCCTCACACTGACTTAATTATACACAATGGTACCTGTCAAATAAGTATATATCGCCTGTTCCGGGTCATTGAGTAACCCAATGACTTGGAACTTCTCGTGTTTATCTATAATGAAGTAGTTAGACCTTCTACTCCAGTTATATATGTCCGATAGTCAATATTATTGTTGTAAGGATAACAAAGACTTAACCGAAGGTAACACTATACAACGACAATATTTAGTTCTCTATGTATATACCGCCCAAATCAATCATTATAATGTTTTCAGCAATAGTGTAAACACCTCACAATACGTTTTAAGTAAACCCAGTATTTGAATATGATTTTCATTTCATTATCAGCGTAGAATTGCGACATTCAGCTTAACTTTAAACAATTTATGTTAACTTCGTGTAAAAATCATACACCTTAAAACTGTACGCTTTTTATATTAAAAAACGTACAATGTACCAAATGAAAATATTTATCACACGAAATAAATATTTTAACAACTGTTTCCCTATACACTAGTATTTTTTTTTAAGCAAAATCTTCAAATATAGATGATAGATCAAATATCTATTATAAATGTTTTAGAAAAAAAACAATACATATGGTATTGCTCTGTAGTATAGAAAGCATTGTTTCTCCTAAAATTTCCTGACAGTTTCAGGTTTTGTTTCCGTTATCAAAATGTCCATGTTTAATTCTGTATCTGTGATTTCACTCTGGTGGAACGAGGTCTTTATATGGTGATGATTCTGTTGTTTAATTGCTGGTCTAAAATAGATAGATAAACAGATAAGGTAATATGTTTAATTACGCACACTCACAGTTAACAGAAAAGGTATCGTTATGCACACGTTATCTTACTGTATAATCACAGTTTCTTCACCCATACCCGTCTTTCACCAACCTCTCAGTGTTAGCCTAAGTGGTATCTTCTTACTATGTCGCTGTACGCTGATCCGGTGTTTCAGGTAAATATATATATATTTTTTATACCTAAACCGTTTTATATGTTTTGCGTAGGAAAATGTGCGGCTAAAGTATTGTTCATTGGCATGGAACGGGTTCGGACCGGAAGGTGGTGCTGCAATCGCTGATGCCTTGGTAACCAATAACTCCTTACAGGAAATCGACATCAGTGGCAACCGACTTAACGCAGATGTGGCGGTGAAGGTAGCCAAGGCTATAGCCGTCAATGACAACATCCGGGTACTAAGGGTAGGTATCTGAGTATTACTTGACAACCGGTGGTGGACATGTTGACGCATGGACACCGTTTTAAACTACAAAAAAAGAACTACTACCGAAAGCATGAATTATTAGTTCTAACTTGTTACCCAAATTTTTAAAAAAGCAATTAAACCTGTTACTCGTAAACAAAAGCCCTCTTTTGATGTCAGGTATTGTATTGTCTACAATTATTCAATTACAATGAAATAATTAACTGCTTCCAACTGAAAAATAAAAATAAAACACCGTTGAATTCGTAAGTTTTCTCCGCTTGACATTCATATCGACTGTGAATAACAATGAGAGCAGTTCTATACGTAATCATACCATTTTTGGAATACATGTATATTAATATCATATGAAATAAAAGTCCATTTGTTGATATTCATCATCGATTCAAGTTTTTTTTGTATCGTGTACCCTTACTCAATAAAAAGGCTAGCTATATTCAAGAAAAGGCCAGTGGTATCCAACGTAACAGTTGTGACGTCGTTAATCGGGACATAAGATTCTTACCTGATGTGAACGCAATCGGATTTGGTAGGGTTATAAGGTGGAAATACCATACATAAGATGCTAAAGAAAGAACAAATGAACACAGGACAAACTGTCCAGTAGCCAAACTAAAGTGTGTTGCTATTATCAACAGATGGGTAATAACTTGCTGACGACCATTGGCGCTATTGCCCTGGCACGCTCCATCAACGAGACAGACAGCAGTGAGATGGAAGAGCTAGACCTAACCGTAAGTAGGCTGATGTTGTAGGAGACACATTACCGTAAATAATGTATGGGGTATGATATCATCGTAGATAGCGTATGAGGAACATATTTGACCTTGCCGTAAGTAGTGTGAAGGGAACTTACTCGACCACATCATACCGGTGTTTCGGTAACTCAAATTGCATTTATCAGTGAGAAAGGAAAATCGATCTTACTTGATTCTATTTTTCAAACATCCAAAGCATGGTTAAAAACTGATGGCTTGTTTCTTATCCACTACCCCGATTCTCGCTTTGAGGACGAAACGTTACATGGATTAAAAAAAATAGTTAACCACAATATTGTCAAAGTGTTAACAAAACGGTAACTAGAATTCAAAATAGATAAACTGGGGCAAAATATGAACAAATGAAAGATCTACCTGGAGACCCACGAAAGAAAATAAGGTGTTCCGGAAGGGTAAACGTATTCTGCTTTATCAACGAGCCATGGAAATTTAGGTAAAATCACGTTCATGTCACGTCTCACAACGAAATCTGGGTAGTGACAACAAAACGTCACACTATCGAGCATATTGAAAAACGTCGACCTTCATGTTACACAAAAAAATAGCATATTTCCCAATAAGAATATGATGGCGATTTACCTAGAAAGCCTAAAATTAGAATCGCATGCCGGTATTCTCATCGTTGTTTTTTTAATGATCTCTTTAAAAATAATCGTTCATATTTTGCTTCAGTTATATCTATTTAGAGTTCGAATGACGATTTTGTTGACAGCTCGGTATCCTCTTGTTGTCTTTTCCTATGATAACATTTCAAACAAATCTTACAATGAACTTTGCCATCATTAGGATATACCGGTCGAGTTCGAGTTCCTTCGAATCTGCGAGGATATCAAGATGAAGAGGACTAACTTCAAGGTGACGCACGGTCCTATATTGAGGTCTGGCAACACTATGGAGGACCTTGGCAAGCCAGCTATCGACCCCTTCAAGCGGAAGGATCCCGTCATGGTGCTACAGGATCACATCGTCGTCAACGACATGAGGTTGCTGGACATTCTTAAAAGACACGACCCCAACGAGACCCTCGAAGTCACCCCAGAACAGTTCATGGCCGCACTGGACGTATGTATACTGATGTGGTAGATGTGGTTGCTGTCTCAGCAGATTCAAGTACACCCTAGTGACAGTATGATTCATCTCTACCTCGTGACACACCAGATATCACAAACATATCACTATTACAAGAAATTTTGCTTTTGCAAAGCTATAAAAGAGTATTTCAACATAAAAATTACTTACTATTTGTCACAATGAAAAAGAGGCAGACATATATATCCTTGACTAGTGTTCAAGTACAGCTAATGGCTATGTTTACTTAATAATAGAATAATGTGATAATCACATTCGTTAATTAGATGAATCAAAACGTGTTGTTATATATTCATTAAAGGAGCTGGCTGTGCCGTACGACAAACCAAAAGTGGATGAGGCCATAGAACGTATAGCTAAAGAACAAAATGGACGCATACACTTTGGGTGAGTTTGCTTATTGTATATAAAGTGAGTCAACCTGACAGACCCCGGGGATACACCATTTTGTCTCCACCATGGCCTAAGTTACGACATGTATTATATATTAAGTATATTTCATATTTATATATAAAGGATATACTTGAATAAAAAATAAGTTTAAACTAAATCACAAATAAGCTTTAACCATGTTCTAAATGATGTAAACATACTTGATAAAGTTTATAGTTATCGTTATCCGAGCAATTCATACAAAACTTATGAAATGTTATACTTGATTATGAGTAATAAGAAGGAAATGAGAAAAGCGTATGTATTTTGTTTATTTTCAGTGATTTCATCAAACAATTCGAGCAAACAGGTGAGGATGTTAACGCAGCCGATGAAGATGACCAAGTCACGTGATTAGAGGGGCGCGTGATAAGAGTCGTTGCGGCCATATTAGATAATCAGAACCGTTCGGATGGTTTTGTTGTGCATTAATCCATAGGTGCAAATGTCGAACAGCGTTGATTGTCTTGTATGCCAGACTTGTTTGTGTGTAAATGTCACTACTCAATGATCTTTACTAAGACGGTGGAAGGGATTTGTTTTACTGAAGATGTCTTTAAAGTGGTACTTCAGAGAGACAAACGAAGACAAAAATCATATATCAGCATAATGATTTACATTATGTTTCCATTTGTTTAAAATAGTAATCTTTCTGTGTATCTTCCTTATGCTACTGATCAGGGTAACCTTGACGACACAACAAGGTCGGTGGTGTGTCCACACTAGCTTTGGTCTACAGACGATATACATAAATCATCAGTGATACCATAATCCCTATTATGTTTAAGTCCTTTGAAGCAGGACATTTCTGATGCACTTGTTCGCCCGTATTAAATGCCGCTAATACAGATTTTTCTTCCATGTGTGATATGAACTCAGGCTTGATTGTTTTTGTTCAGTGGTTACAACTCTGTGAGAAGACGACAACAGTGACGTGTAACCATGGAATTTATTCACTAGGATACAACTCACAGTCATAAGTACTTCCCTAACATTCGTGATGTGTACGCGTTTTACATGTATGTACATGTGTTGTGTATGTACTCATTAATATGTGTGTTTGTATTCCATGATATTCGTTAACATTTGTTACATGAAAAACGGTTTTTTAATATCAAGGTTTATATACTGAATTTTGATTGATTATTTATCTATAAACACATTATTTCTATGAGCTATGTGTTCGTGTTATCATTAGCGCTAAATCTAACAATAATTTATCACATTAGGTCTAATTACCAAACATAAAAGACATGAAAACAAGGCTAATCACCATCGCCAATAGCAATGTGCCCATGCTCCGACAACTTGTAAAACAGAGAGCACAAACATAAAAACAAGCCTACGTCAAACTCATGTTCAGGCAATTTAAACCGCAACAAGATTACATTCGGATAACATATTCAAAAGATGTGCATGCAATTTCAATTAATTAAATTCAGCGAATTAGATGAATACACTTTCAGACAAATTTCAACAAAAAAATGCTCAGGGATCTACGATGATGATCTGTCAACTCGGTCAACAATGAGACTATTTTTATACACGAGTCCAGTCTCAAAAACACAAACAAGATGAGTCAATGCTCAGAAAGGCTTTATGACTGCTCCATACTGGTTCTTCTGAGATATTATCTGATATGCAATATAAATGTGGACATGATTCTAGTCTAGCTTCCTCGCTGAACCCAGATAAGCGATGAGTGTGACACACAACCAAACTTAAAGTGGAAGACGGACCACCTCTTAAAATCCGGATAACTCAACAGTTGGCCGCTGTGATGCCTTTTAGAACTCTCTGTTCATGTAATGCCTTTTAGTACTCTCTGTTCATGTAATGCCTTTAGAACTCTCTGTTCACTGCAATGCCTTTTAGTACTCTCTGTTCATGTAATGCCTTTTAGAACTCTCTGTTCACTGCAATGCCTTTTAGTTTTCTCTGTTCACTGTTATGCCTTTAGACCTCTCTGTTCATGTAATGGCCTTTTAGAACTCTCTGTTCATGTAATGGCCTTAAGAACTCTCTGTTCACTGCAATGCCTTTTAGTTTTCTCTGATCACTGTTATGCCTTTAGAGCTCTCTGTTCACTGTAATGCCTTTTAGAACTCTCTGTTCATGTAATGCCTTTTAGAACTCTCTGTTAATGTAATGCCTTTAGACCTCTCTGTTCACTGTAATGCCTTTTAGAACTCTCTGTTCATGTAATGCCTTTTAGAATTCTCTGTTCATGTAATGGCCTTTAGAACTCTCTGTTCATGTAATGGCTTTAAGAACTCTCTGTTCACTGTTATGCCTTTAGAACTCTCTGTTCACTGTTATGCCTTTAGAACTCTCTGTTCACTGCAATTCCTTTTAGAACTCTCTGTTCATGTAATGGCCTTTAGAACTCTCTGTTCATGTAATGGCCTTTAGAACTCTCTGTTCATGTAATGCCTTTTAGTACTCTCTGTTCACTGCAATGCCTTTTAGAACTCTCTGTTCATGTAATGGCCTTTAGAACTATCTGTTCACTGCAATGCCTTTAAGTACTCTCTGTTCACTGTAATGCCTTTTAGTACTCTCTGTTCACTGTAATGCCTTTTAGTACTCTTTGTTCACTGTAATGCCTTTTAGTGCTCTCTGTTCACTGTAATGCCATTTATTACTCTCTGTTCACTGTTATGCCTTTTAGTACTCTCTGTTTACTGTAATGCCTTTTATTACTCTCTATTCACTGTAATGCCTTGAAGTACTCTCTGTTCACTGTTATGGCCTTTTAGAACTCTCTCTTCACTGTAATGCCTTTTATTACTCTCTATTCACTGTAATGCCTTGAAGTACTCTCTGTTCACTGTTATGGCCTTTTATTACTCTCTGTTCACTGTAATGCCTTTTATTACTCTCTGTTCACTGTTATGGCCTTTTATGACTCTCTGTTCACTGTAAGGCCTTTTATTACTCTCTATTCACTGTAATGCCTTTTATTACTCTCTGTCCACTGTCATGGCTTTTCAGAACTCTCTGTTCACTGTAATGCCTTGAAGTACTCTCTGTTCACTGTTATGCCTTTTAGTAATCTTTGCCCAGCCCGACGCTCTAAATGTATCCACAAACCTCTCAGGGTAGTGCCCTTAAATCACCTGCAGTATATCAAAAGAAACACAGAACATATGATCAGCCAACTCACGTGTTGATAACTGCACCATGCCTGACTTACAAAAAGGCACTGGTGCTGTACAACGCCGAAAAGCATTTAAAATGAGAAAAATGTCGTCGAAATACGCGGTGAAATTTTTGTTATAACAGCACTTTATACGACACGCACTTTATTCATGCCAAAAGAAAACTTAGAACCGTACAGTAAGGTATAATGATTATCCACCTTGAATATCCAATGGAGCCCTTTAACAAGTTGTTGTTAAGTTATTAAAGCATGGAACGGCATACACCATTCAAATACACACTAGCTGAGTAGCTACCCGGTTTTATCAATTTAACTGTATTTATCAAGTCCATACATAAGCACATCTTAATGTCTAAATAACTGTTCAAACACTTGTCAAGTGGCTTGCCATCGTTACTGAGGGTCAGATTTTGGAACCGAGCCAGTACTAACCACGACTGTCCAGCACTAACAAAATCAGTGACCAATATCAATTTCCCTTGAATACACTGTGTCCGTCCTGCTGATATCAGACCTGCATTAGATGCTTCGACTTTTGAAGATTCTGGCACAGCGCGATCAACAATATAGAAATAATTCGTTACCCCGTTAAGAGTAATGTCATTGTTTTTGTGGGGAATAAGGGAGCCTCCAATGCCACGTGGTCTAAACCTTCTGTTGGTTTAGAATGTTCGTTTGTTCTCTTCGAACGTTTTTCCTTTTCACAATTTAGTGTTTTCGACTGGAAGAATATGATGAAAATAATAACAATTTACGATTATGGAACATATTACACGCAGGTAATGTACATTATTGCGTTGAATTCCTCATCAGAGAAAGAACCCACGACAATTTGATCAGAGAATTGACGCTTGTTACTTAAATTAGCATTATTGGTATTTTGGGAATAAAGGATTGCGGTTGCTATGGGTTGATGCTTTTTGTGGCCCGGAGAAATGCTCTCAATCTTTACAGGTGGCTCCCCGTTGAAATCCTTCTTTCCTTGCAACCGTTTTTCCTGATCATACAACAAAACGATGTACCATAATATCCATTTGTCAATCTAAGAATGGTCTGCATATACATCGTTATTTACTTCAAGTGTTGTATGTGTACGGAGGAAAAGAGATCACTCACAATACTTAATATACTTGGGTTAAATCCAATTTCGCCCGATCTCTTCTCCCTGTTTCTCTCCTTTGGAACGGATGTGAAAATAATTAGTTAATGGTTTCATATTTGGAATTGATTCGGGTAATAAAGCTTAGAACTGAACAAGCACTGAAGTCAACCAGAGCGGAAAGAAGCATCGAAATAAAATCCGTACATCAATTAATACATTAGAAACTATCGAAACGTGATTGATGAGAGCATGTTCAGAAATGCCAAACATTGGTGAATTGAAAATACTAAAGCTCGTTTTAGATTTAGCTCGCACATTTAAAATATTGAACAGGGAAGATATAGAAACCTTAATAGAGATAAAAGATTTTGTAATTTGTGTAACGCAAATACATGTAATATTGAAGATGAATTTCATTTTATATTAAAGTGTAACTTTTATAACGACTTAAGGTGCGAGTTTAATAAGCCTTAGTATTACAAACAAAGGTGTTTTCAAATTCATTCAGATATTTAATACTCAAAACATTAAGGAATTGAATAAATCAGGAAAATTCCTATTTTTAAGTTTAAAACGTCGTAATAGCACAGTATCATATTTTATCCAATTCTTCTTGTAAATGTACATTTCAGTATATCATATTTGATTAGATATTTGTAATATGTGTATTATGTAAAACAAAATGATTGTACCCGTTCATTAACTTTCCTATGAGATATGAAATATAGGGTAAAAACATCGATATTTTCTGTATTGTAATCTGCAAGTTATATTACGGTCACTTACGCCACGCTAGGTGTCACATCGTAGTTACTGCACTTTAATTTGGCAATGTATTTAGTTGTTCTTTGCTGTTCTACTAGATTGTATTTATTCGTGACTTACGGTTCGTCAGTGAGATACAATGTATGTAACTGTATTAAATCTTGTTATCATTACCTGTAACGTACGTCATTGAAAGATAGTTATACTATGTTGTTATGATGTCACTTTTTCATTGTATCATACCGTCGCTTATGATGTATGTCATTTTGTCGTACTGTATGGTTAATGAGTGTTTCATTGTGATATACTGTGTTGTTATCACGTATGCCATTGTCCAATATGCATCATATTGTATTCGGCAATTATTGTATGCATGTACCATTGTAAATATGTACTGTACCATGTGTATGTCATCGTATGTCTACTCTCCGATGTGTCTTACACAGGGAATAAAATAATCTGAATCTGAATTTGTGGTCTTACAGTAAACCAATGTCGCGCTCGACATAAAGAATAAACGTCTTCTTTATGGTTTTCGTAGTTTTATTCAGTACAGAAAAAGACAGTGAAACAAATTGACAAATGTTATACTGGACATAAATTCACAATCATGTAACAAGAAAGACAACTCTTACTCAAGGAATATGGCCTTAGCCCCGCGCTTACATGCATCTCAAACGTTTGAAAATGAATATCATGACGTCAACACGCTTCACCAAAAATTATCACGGACATTACCCATAATTATAATTAACCGGACTACACCGGAAAACCTACTCGTGCTACTGTTCGTGGCGGATCTGGACGCTATGCGCTCCTGTCAGTTAACAAAACTTTAAACAGTAAAATAGTTTAAATACCAAGGTGAAATAATGATTTAGATTTCGTATCTCAAATCTATATCCCAGCTGGCATAAGCAGAGGCGTATAATTCCTTTAGCCGCCAGTGTCGAAGTGCGATGAAACGAAGACGCACGGTTGAAATGGCGAGACTATAAATAGTAGGAACATGAACATAACAGGAGCGTGAACAGATGTACAACACATGTCACACACCTGCGCAACTTATCGCATGAGCATCACGCGCGTGACATACGTACACGTACATGACAAACACGAACAAAATGTAAACGGATACGATACAAGGGTCTACCAGACTACATTTGACATAACCATTATCTAAGAAATAACACTCTGCCATATTACAATGAAGACATATCTACGGAAGTCTGCAGGTGCAAACGAAATTATTGTATATCTGGCGGCTGCCACTTATCATAAGTGAGGCTGGCTTCCATACATATCCAATGCATTTTATGTTCAAACACTTTATAAAGCTGCATAGATGGATGAAGCGTGAATTGACAGTATGTCACCAAAACCTGTCATGTCGCTAACCAATGTCACGGTCACGACAAGGTTCAAGAGCGTATAGCTTATGCGTAGACTAATGAACAGTGTACTGAAATCTGATATAAAATGATACCATGGCACTAGTAACACCCGTGCTGCGTTCGTGGCATTATTAAAGTGGTTATTAGGTGATTAAGAATACATTTGGGATACTTTCTGATATCAATTAGCATGCTAAATGAGCAACTACGGACAATTTCGAAATTCGTGAACAGTTGAATAACAGATCAGACTGTGTTAAGGGAAGTAACTCCTACAGAACTGTCGATTATCATAGAACAATGCATAAAATATTATTTATAGTACATACTTTTTTGTTATTACTTTTTTTCAAAACACATGAATATATCAAATACAAAAGTAATATACTAGGTATGTAACGTTTGTAACATGTTACTACGAAAACTAGCAGGCACTTGTTTTTTGTTCTTTTACTTTTGGGGAACATCAAACTGCAGCAGAGAACAGTGTAAAGTTACTAGGAGTAGACATTGATAGTGATTTAAAGATGTAAAAGGCCTCCATACAATTGGGTGTGCTTAAAAGAATTGGAAATAACCTTACAAAAATGGGCAAAATCACTATTTTCAAATCCTTTATTTTATCAAATTTTAACTGTTATCCTTAGTCTAGCTTGGCATTTTTGCAATAAATGTCATCCTTAACTAGGAAGATGGAAAAAGTTCACGAGAACTCTGCGTTTTATAGAAAATGGATTTACTACTCCATGCAGTTAAAGACATTTTAATAAGAAATAACTTACATTTTTTACATGTTTGCAGGCTCAAGACAATGGCTAGGGAGGTCTACACAATTTTGAGCACCTGGGATGGTGAACACTGCAAATGCTCTCTATGTTCCTGACTCCTTATTTAGTTGTAGTTCTTTTAATCTTCAAACCGGTCTCTAGAAGACTGGAATAGGTGTTTCATTTTTGTTTGCATACTAAATTTGTGATATCCTCCATGACTAAATGTTTTTAGTTAATTGTCATGTGTTTTATATCAATGCTAATACAATACACCTTTTAAACTGCTGTTTTTGTCATTGAATGTTTCTTTTATTGTGTTGCTTATTCTGATTTTGTGTTCGCTTTTAAGTCCATTTAAAAATGACTACATTATCATTTTATAATTTGGTGTTATAGGGCTAGGTAGGTTTAGGGATTGGCCCAACCACCTGTCCTGCATCACCCCACACATGTATCATTTAATATTTTAGAGGTTTTTTTGTCGTTATACTCTCGGACGCGGTACACGAACGCACCTATGTCTTTTCCTGGTGAATTGAATGTTTGATTCGCTTGGCCAAACCGATTAGTGAAGCGTTTCCTTCACGCCAAAGAAGGAATACTAAATGCCATAAAGTAATTTGGCTAAAATATTTTGCGTTAGGTTAAATCAATTTAAGAACTTAAATTTAGAACTACTTATTGAAAAATGAATGAATAAATATATTTCTTTCAAATTATAGATTGTTGAAATACGCACAGGTTGAAGATCTATACCTTGATGCTAAACTGTCATACATTGCGGACGAATCTTTCAACCGCTCACAATCGTTCCGGTCATCACCTGAGGGGCATTAGTTTTACTACTAGAAGACTAGAAAACAGACAAGATGGTAAACAAATCGTGGGATTTTTAAAGTCTTTTCTCATTGTCCGTTATCTATTATAGCTTTATTTTTCTGATTCATATGAACGCTAACATTTATTATATGTATGTTGTGATAGGGTTATGTCAATATTGTAGAGTTTAGTTGAAATAGTCGCGAATATCGTCACCAACACGTGCCTGTTTGCCCCCCCTTCCTCATCAACATTACCAGTTTGTTTAAATGTAAATTTGTTGTTATTATCCTAATATAACACAAAGCAGGAAGTATACAAAGGCTTATAAGGATAGTTCCAATATACACAGATCATGGCAAAACAAGTTTTGTTTCGGTGTCTTGTAAGACTTGTATTATGTTGAAAATTCTGTATTACAATTTCCATGTATGCTGTCAACAAAGTAATGGTTGGTTGGTGCAGTGGATAGGTTTGGCACACACTTAGCCCAAGTTTCCTCTGACCCTGAAACCAGATTTAGACATTTTGACATATATGTCTGGTGTTGGATCAGAGCACACTAGTCACTATAATATGAAAACGTGGAATTCTCTATCACGGTTTAATTTGGTGTCAAAGAGTTTTGAGGTGCTGACAACAAAAATTGACTATGACACACCTCACATATATCGATAAATGGATTATTTATTGATCCAAATCTGCTCTTATACTATCACCAACATCCTCGGTTTTCAATCGCTTGAAATTTCTCACCAGAGCAAATGCTATTTTTATAGGTCATGGGAGTGACTAGCTGCGATAACGTAGCTTTCTGACGACTAGAGAATGTTTTTATATATTGCGTCGTCAGAGCTACGAAGCGGTCCTATGCCAACTAATGGAGCAAAATCAAAAGTGCTAATCTGTAAGATTGCATATAATTCACTTCTCATATGAGTATAATGTTATCAAAATAGTGCATAATTGTTGAAAAAACGAATCCTTACCCATGGAAAAACACTTCTACGAAATTAACAAAGTCTGTCTTGGGGGAAAAAATAGAAACGACCGCCATGACAGATCACACGTGATGTTATCTCAATTAGCCTTTCTATTTATGGCCTGCATGGCCAAATAAAGTATTACTACTGATGCCGCCATGTTTACTACAATTTCCATATTGGGTCATGACACCCATATTTGGACGTCTGACCTATATTGGAAGAGAGACCAACTTTCCAACATGGCGGTCAATTCAGATTTCGATTACGCTTGCTACGTTAACTTGATAATTTAACGACATTTTAGGCAGAGTTAAACTTCAAGTTGTGCAGGATATCAACAGAAATAGTTCATACTACAACCTTATTTATGGATGCGGACCAATGTGCTGTCAATTCATTCTAAAATCGCCCCGGTGTTATTCACACCGGGCTTGCTCCATTACAAGGTATGGGATCGATTTAATACCCGGCCGGGGTAGAGGAGGCCGGGTATTAATATTAGTACTAGGGAGTGACTACATGCTAATCAACAAAAAGAAGCGGTCCGGAAATTTTCTTAACAAGAATGATATATCCGTTTCTGGATTCTGATCAGTACGGTTTGTTGATTAGTCACTCTCATGATAAATCTTATATTTTAAACTCAATTCATTTGTCTGTCGTCATTTGCAACTCAGCAGGTCGTGGATTGTGAAAAGAATACATGTACACCTACTGTTACCAATGGCATGTATTATAAGAGGTGACTAATGTCGAAACCCCCTGCAGAATTGGGGATTTGCTTTTGTGTCCTCTACTTGGTAACACGAATGTTGCAATGGAGGCAACAGATCAATTGTGGTTTCTTCAATGTTCTCTTAGCAGATGATGCAGAAGAAAGCCCCTGATTCTGGGGGGGGGGGGAGAATATCAAGATAATCAATTGAAGCCATACGTAATGCTGAATTACCGTTTAGCTTTGCTATATAAATTTTTCTTTCCAATTATAATACCAACTTGATCATTGTTTCAGGGCAAAGTGAAAAAGCATCAAAAGCTTGCTGCAATGAAGAGGGTCATTAATTTAAAAGACCAAAGAATGTAAGTTTATTAAAAGAAAGTTTTGCATGAGAGTGCTATCAATTGCTGGCTCTCAATATTTTCCGATGGATTATTTTATGTGAAAAAGAAAAACAGATAATTTTTCAGTTTAACAAACTGATTTTTTTTTGTACAAAACTGTTTCTATGTAACATTATTTATGTTGATCAGCAGATATGTTTTAATAACTCACAGATTTTTCCAATATATACTTTAAAAAGTTTGTATTCAACCTATACAATAAGGTTCATTGTACATGTTGTAAAAAAATGACTGTTTTGTTTCAGTCAGAAGAAAGACCGATTGAGTAAAAAGCGGACAAAAAAGAACCCTCAAAACTTGACCGTGAGGGAACTGTAAGTGCTTTTTTCACAAAGATATTCGCTGATAATTCATAGCAGTTCATGTACCATCATGGTATCTAGATAACCACGATAATTTTCATTTATTAAATGTAGTCCTACTTTGAAATTTGTATTGTGATGCACGTTTCTATGGGTATTAAATAGGATATTTTAGGCTTCAATTTGCATACCATATTTACTTAACATTTTTCACTAGGTATTATTTACATATATTTCCTTATGACACTGGCATATATACGGTAGCGACAATGTTTATTACCATGTGTGTGTTATCTCCACAGACCCCAGGCTTCCTCTGCTTTATTCTTCAAGTATAACACACAGCTGGGCCCTCCCTATCATGTCCTCGTCGACACCAACTTCATCAACTTCTCGATCAAAAACAAGCTGGACATTGTTCAATCTATGATGGACTGTCTTTATGCAAAATGTAAGTAATGGTACCTCATCAAAATTTCACAAAACGTTTTTGAAATATTAATTGCTTGTAAATAATTTTCTGATTTGAACATGTTAATTAATTTAATATTTGAGTTAATAGGTATCTGTTGAATTTCTCTGGACAGGTATTCCATACATTACTGACTGTGTGATGGCAGAATTGGAGAAGCTTGGCAGTAAATATAGAGTGGCTCTAAGGTAGGTGCAATAACTGCAACAAATGTTAACCGATTTTCTTCAAACTTGGTAACAGGGTTAAATACTTTAAGGGCTCGGCCAAGGTATTCACTACTTTCAGCAGACTTTATTTGGCGGAGTTATAGGCCCTTGAGTAATGAAAAACGTCATTATCTGCCGTTTCCGTGCAATAACTGCAACAAATGTTAACTAATTTTCTTTAAACTTAGTAACAGGGTTCAACGCTTTAAGGGCTCAGCCAAGTTTGACATCTACTTTAATCAGACTCCATTTTGTGGATTTATGGTCCCTTGATTAACAAAAAACATCATTATCTGCAGTTTCGGCTTAATAACTCTAGCAAATATTAGCCAAATTCCTTCAAACTTGATAACAATGTTTGTGTTCCTCTGTCTTTCCACCCATCTCGGGCACTCTTTGGTTTTTCGTGTGATAATTGCTGTAGATATTGTACAGATATTTCAACCGAATTCCGTATGCACATCCGACTCGTGCTAAGTTTGCCAGCCGATGTGATATTTACAGATAATTAATGATGTGTAAGGCTCTTTTTTAGGTCACCTAAGCTTTGCTCAAGTGACCTATTCTAATCGCTTTCCGTCCGTCGTGCGTAAACTTTTTACATTTTCAACTTCTTTTCAAGAACCAGTGGATGGTTTTTTTTTCAAACTTGGTCAGAATCATCCTTGGTAGATGAGGCTACAAAATTGTAAAATTGGGATTCCTACCCCGATCCCTGGGGCCAGGGCGGGGCCCCAAAGGGAAAATTAACCAATATTTCAAAAATCTTCTTCTCCAGACTCAGAGGTACTACACTCATTTTCTCTACATGGAAAGAAAGATCATCAGGGGCTTTACTTAAATTGTAAATTTCAAGAGCCCCAAGCTATCCGTTCTCCCTTGGGGAGGGGGTAAAGTTTACTATAGTTTATATAGGGAAATAACACTTTTGGGTATATTTTGACAACTTTCTGTAAGAAATTATTTTTACTTGGTGAGAATTATCCTTGGAGGAAGATGGTTTCAAATTGTAAAATTGAGAATCCTACCCCAACCCCTGGGGCCAGGGCGGGGCCCCAAGGGGAAAATTAACCAATATTTCAAAAACCTTCTTCTCCAGACTCGGAGGTACTACACTCATTTTCTCTACATGGAAAGAAATATCATCAGGGGCTTTACTTAAATTGTAAAATTCAAGACCCCCAAGCTATCCGTTCTCCCTTGGGGAGGGGGTAAAGTTTACTGTAGTTTATATAGGGAAATAACACTTTTGGATATATTTTGACAACTTTCTGTAGGAAATTATTTTTACTTGGTGAGAATTATCCTTGGAGGAAGATGGGTTCAAATTGTAACATTGAGATTCCTACCCCAAACCCTGGGGCCAGGGCGGGGCCCCAAGGGGAAAATTAACCAATATTTCAAAAACCTTCTTCTCCAGACTCAGAGGTACTACACTCATTTTCTCTACATGGAAAGAAAGATCATCAGGGGCTTTACTTAAATTGTAAATTTCAAGACCCCCAAGCTATCAGTTCTCCCTTGGGGAGGGGGTAAAGTTTACTATAGTTTATATAGGGAAATAACACTTTTGGGTATATTTTGACAACTTTCTGTAGGAAATTATTTTTACTTGGTGAGAATTATCCTTGGAGG